CCGGGTAGAAAGCCATTTCTACCCGGAAAAGCTCACCGGAAGCGCTGGCGCCGCCATCTTTTTTGATGAAAAAGTGCTTCCGGTGAGGTCACCGGAAGCACTTTTTCATCAAAAAAAGATGGCGGCGCCCAGCTGATGCCGGTACCGGGCCGCGGCGCCCAGCTGATGCCGGTACCGGGCCGCGGCATAAAAAAGGTTGGGGTCACTGCTTTAAACTTTTCACCTTTCTTCTAATAGCAATCTCATCAATTCCTCCAACCATGTCTTTTGGCCTTTCTTATCCCCTCATACCATTTTCTTTCCTCATTATATATTTGCTTTGTGATTCAGCCTTCATTAATTCTTTCTATATGACACATCACCCCAACATATTTTTTCCTACTACTCATCCAATTGTGAATTTAATCCACATTCATTCAGTATTCCTTCATTACCAATCCTCTCTTGTTTTACCACATACTTCAGAAGTACCCCCTGCAATCAACTTAATTGTATGCTACCTGGCAATCCTATTTGTTGGCTAATTTTGGGGAAGTTAGGCAGGTCGTCATAAGTATATCTGGAGTTATTTCTATTGTTAGGGAAAGAACTGAGGAAGTCCCTTATTAAGGAGATGTTAAGGTCATCAGATTGATTGAGGATGAAACATTGAGGTTCTTCTAGGTTCCAATTCTCTTGTTAGGGCTGCCCTTGGGTTGAATTGTGAGAGGTTAAACAAGGCTTCTACTCTATAGAAAGGACTGCAGAGGAAGGTGTCTGGGGGGAAGTGAGGGAGAATCAATTTACTGGAAAAATATGACACGATGCACAAGATTCAGTGCAGAAAAGCCCGATGCCTAGAAAAATCAAAGGCAATAGAAACAGACACCTAGAGACTATCACTAATGTCACAAGCCTGAGTTTGCAGGGCTTACAAAGCAACAATTACTGACAACTTGCAAATAGCACTTAGACTTATATACTGCTTCACAGTGCTTTACAGCCCTCTCTAAGCAGTTTACAGAGTCAGCCTATTGCCCCCAGCAATCTGAGTCCTCATTTTAATGACCTTAGAACGATGGAAGGCTGAGTTAACCTTGAGATGGTGAGTCTCGAACTGCCTGCAGTACTGCATTCTAACCACTGCGCCACCACAGATCATGGTATCTCTCATGTCATGAAAAGTAGAAGCGATTGAATAACTGAACAACAATTAATAGAGTTAAATTAATGACTAGTCTAACAATGTTTTTAAAATTCACCTCCCTGTAACCTTCCACTGCAACCCAACTATTAGCTAAAAGAGAAGTTAGCTTCCAACTATCCTTTATCAAATTGTGCAATTTTCTTAGGTTGCTCACAAAGATAGGAATTACTTATTTACAAGCTTGCCCAGGAATATGTTCAGCAATGGGCATCGCTAAAAAAAGGATTTGGATAAATATATGCAGAGGAGATGTCTACATCTCTTCAGGTTCAAAGGCATGGACCTACTGCTTCTCTCCTTCCCTTCCCCTCCCTCCCAGCATGCCTCTAGGGCTCAATGGGAAGATCTGCAGAAGAAGTTGAAATGAATTCAATTGAACATACTTAGTATCTCTGATTAGAAATTCTGCAATGCAGAAATAGGCATCACACACAAGGATTCTGGGAGAAGGTTTGGTGTGCTAATCCTATCACATTCTCATATATACACACACACACACACACACACACACACACACACACACACACACACA